ATTTATGATGATAAGGGGACGGGAAAGGCTTCTAAATTCTTTTGTGGACCTGATTTGTGACTGTCGAGAGCTGTTAAATACTTTCTCTCTTTGTTTCTTTAATTGGTGTCCTGCTCCTGGGACTAGATCTAATAGGCACAACAAAGTAAGCACATTAGATGAATACTTGATAAATATTTTGACAACTGTCAAAAGTGAATATTAATCTTTTTCAAGGATAATTGAGAGTATTTTAAAAAATAGGTGTTAGAAAATAATTTCTAAGTACTTACAACATTGTGCCTACCTGATCCTAATCCTAACTGCTCTGCTCAGACTAGTCAGAGTGGGACCGGAACTAAGACACTTCTTTTACATCTATGTATAGAGAGAGAATTCGAGAAAGGCTGTCAGATTCCTTGAATTCTTCAATGCACTAGAAGTATATATATGCTTCTGCTAACAAAATGGAAAATGCCTAAAAAATTATGATTTCTGGGTGCCTAATTTCCCTTTCTACTCACATATACCTTAACAGGAGTATAACATGATCATTTACTGACAGCCACAAAAAGATGTACAAGACCACCATGGCATTTCATGCTTCATACCCACGCTTAGTTTGTCGGATGAGTATTAATGCTGCTATAGCTATATTTTTAGTTCTTATGACCATGAATTAAAGGGAAATCAGATCAGTTTTCAATTACTGTGTTTGTGTGATATGAACATTTTTTCTCGGTCCTCTACAGAGTACAGACTACATGCATGATGCATCATCGTCGCTCGTGACTGCAGGATATCCACCTCCATTATTTATTTTCTTTTAATTTATACTGAGGACTCCATTAATTAAGTGTGACTGATGACCAAAACCCTACTTAATTATGGGTTTTAATGCAGTTGACAATTGAATGAAGCTTTCGGTTAGAGTCCCAAAAAAGACTTAACTTGGTAGCTCATCCCTCATTGTCAACAGATAAAAGAAAAGGAAAAGCATTTATCCTTTTTTTATTCAAGTTGACCTTTGATGATAATTGCCATCTTTCCTCTCTTCTTTTCCTATTTGCTGCTTTATTATCAGTCTGTCTACCTTTACAGGGGCAATGCATCCTGACTGTGAATTGATGTTAAATTCATGGACATGATGTGGTTTATAGGGGGGAGAGGGCTAGTAATAGGTGGAAGGGGGGGCTGGAATTCAGAATTCTGCATCGGGTGTATCCATACTTCTCCATATTAAAATTTCCTTTTTATAATTAACTGTACCCTTTTTATTATTCAAAATTTAGGCCTAGGACAATGCTACATTCCACTCATTTTCTTCTACTTGATAAACTTACCATAAATATTCAAATGGGAGTGGAAATCAATAGGTTTATCCAAGATATCTATTGCAAAAGTTTAATGGGATCCCCACAAATCTTAGTTTCACCCTATAGTCGGGGTAGATGTCAGCTCGGAATTGATATCAATACATGGGCATTGGGCAGGTATTAGTGTTTAGGTGGAGGTGTTTGAAATTTTAAATTGTTTTAGATCTGCAGTGGAATTCAGAATTCTGAGGTGGAGTATAGTCTATTTATCCCAACTTTTTTTAATTAATAGGGTAAAATACAAAAACCTCCCTTGAAGTTTCTGATAATCATAAAAAACTTTCCTTTAATTTAATTTAACAAATACTTGCCTTGAACTTTTACAAAATTCGACAAATACCTCCCTTCCATTACTTAGATGGAAAATGTTAAATTGATGCATCCATTTTTTCAAATACCCATTCTACCTTTTCTAAATTATTTTAAAACTCGACAAATACCTCTTTCAATCTCTTTATCCTCTTTCATCTTTCTTCGTTCCTGGACCATGGCGAGACTAGTGTGGCTGTCTACACTTACAAGTATTTATCTTTTACACTTAACGTCTCTTACTATTTTCTCAAAGTTGTTTCAACTCTCTCTCTCCGGGGAAGCCCTCCAACTAAACTACCATTTTTATTCTTCTATGGTAGAAATAAAGCAGAGCCCAAACAATCAAAGTCATTTCTATCGCACAACTTATAAAATATAGAACACAGTGAATGAACAAGAGGTAGATAGAGAGATGGGCATCTCTGCCAAGGCCAATAGTAGTAGCAAAAGATGGGGTTTGGGATTCTTCAGTTGCTTTAATTTGCAAGGAATGGAAACTCTGTTTAGGAGAAGAATTAGAGCAATGAATGATCTTGTTGTCGTTCATATCAAGGAGGACGTTACAGATGACGAGCTTCACTTGTTTATGAGAAGTATATATCGATTTGGTCTCATTGTGCGATCAAATGTCGCGCTTATCTTCCCCACTTGGAATTTCTTCATTTTTTTCTTCTGTAATTCGGGAAGAAAACGATTCGTTCTTGAAGCTCATCTCTGATTGTAGAGACAAGCGCATGATTAAATTACTTGAGGTTCCCGGAGTGTTGGACGTTGGGGTAGGTGTAAGTCTGCTGGGACCAAGCGGGTCCAGTGTCTCTGAAGTTAGAGGTGAACCAGGCAAAGGTGTTGCTGTCACTTTGTGGCTCGTGGACACCGCTGTGGAGATGGACGACGGGGGGGGACACCTAGGGATGCTCACGGTTCGATTACATATTTTGTAACCAAAATGGTAGTACTGGTTTTTGAAAAGTCAGTAATCAAAACTGAACTGAAACCTATCGGTTAACCGGTTGATCGGTTTGATTAACCGTTGGTTTTTTAGATTTTTAATTTTTACAATATATATTATAAATGAATAAATATAATAAAAAAAGTATAAATTTATATAAAATATTATATTTTAAATAATAAATAATATATCATGTATTATAAATATATATATTTATATATATAATGTACATTTATTAATTTATAATATATAAAATATACATAAATATATATAAAATATATAAAAATATATAAAAATATATGTATACCGGTTGGTTCAATTAATCGTTGGTTTTCTGTATTGGTTAACCAAAATTGAATCGACTGATTCAGTTAACCAATTTTTTGGTTCGCTTTTGATTGGCTTTTTTTAATCGGTTTGGTTTTTCGGTTTTTTTTTTTTCTCACCCCTAAGAAAGAAAGGTGGTGGGAACGGTTGAATTCCATGAGGGAGTATGTGATTTTGAGGGCGATGATTTTTCCACGTCAAATAAGTTGATACTCCTTGGAGTGTCTTGATTGTGAGACCAGGAACAGTGGCGGTCATTCGGGAGGTCCCGTACGCGAAGACTATTGTCGGAGGCAAGTCACAGTGGAACATCTGTAGCAGAGTGGAGAAAGAAAAAATTCATTAGACATGAGAAAGAAGCTAGAGAGAGTAGTGTGAATCAAGAATTAATTAGTACCCATTTCTTTTGATACACGCCAATGGTGAGACTTTAAGGAATTGGAAGGCGGAATAGCATGGAATAACCATACCCCTTTGGCATTTGTGGGAGTTCATTGACCAACATTTGCAGAGAAGTGGCTATTTGCTGAAAATCAGTTGCTTCGGTTATCGAAGGAGGAGAAAGAGGACGAGCCTGTGCTTGGGCTTCGAAAAATATTGGAGACAATTATTAACGCTATTGTGATTGTGAGACATAATAAAAATTTGAGGTTTTGATGTAACCCGTTAATTTGTGAAATGGGATAAGGAGAAGGTGGGAGAGGTAAGTATTAGTTTTAGACTGTACACATGGATGAGTTCCGTCAGTTTGTAACTCCGAAGGATCTGATACAAAAGATAAAACACGCTCTTAACATTATCAGGGGTAATTTTGTAAATTTATAGTTTTTCGTTGGGGTTAGTGATAGAAAGGAGGTTTTGTTGATTTAGGGCTTGTTTGGTATATCTTTTTGGGAAGATCTTTTAGTAGTTCAGACAGTCAAAAGACGCATTGAGCTTTTGTATAAAGATCTGAGCAGTCCGAAGCACGTTTGGCAGATGTATGTCTTTTCGTGCAAGAATAAAACGTGAAAGATGCGAGAATCTTCATTTGGAGCTTATTGAAATTGGCCCAAAATAGGCTTTTCGCATCTTTTCAATGTTCCATCTTTTGGTGGCTAGATCTTTTGTATGCCAAACGGAAATAGACAGAAAATCAGTATTTTCGACTTGTAAACAACTGAAAGACCATGCGAAAAAACACACTAAATGGGCCCTTTTTTAAAAATTAAGAAAAAGGTATTTGCTAAAATAAAACTAAAAAAGAGATTTTTATTATTATCAGAAATTTTAGAGGAGGTTTTTGTATTTTACCCTAAATAATAAAGAATAAGGAATATGAGTAGGGAAACATTATGTGATTAGCTCATGATAGAAATTGCAAGTGGACATGCATTAAAAACAAAATAAATCAATAACAATATATGTGGGGAAACATAGTGATGACTGATGATGCTTTTGGAAGTAGAAAGAAAACTAAGCTCAGGGCCGGGTTCAGAGGTAGAAAGAACCGGCCAACCCAAACCTTCTTTATTGAACTGATGGGTTTCTGTATTTTTTAGGTTGGGCAGGCATTGGGGTATAAAGTGTGGGTTATTGACATTTTGAATATTTATAGTTTTGCAGTGAAAATAAAAAATTTGCATTGAGCAAATTTGTACTTTTCCATTGTATTACATGATAGCATTGAATCATTTATAAAATATATATACCGGCATCCCATTATTGGAGAAGTACGGATTTGCCCAATGCAGATTTTTGATTTACATTGCAGAGTTATAAACATTCAAAATGATCACAACCCACTTTGTATACACCAATGCCTGCGAGTGAATTCACATCAATTCCGAGCTGACACCAACTCCAACAGTACTTTGAACCTACAAATTCTGACCGGGCTAATTGGTTATTCTTCCTTTTATTTAGTGAATTGGTGGGTAAGAGATTCATATTCAGATTGGAGTGAGTGGCTCCTGTGCTCAGGTTTAAATTGAACAAAACCCATTCCAAACCGGATTTGGACCATTTGGTATGGGTTTTGTTAACAGATTGAAAGAAGGAAAACTCATTTTTGGACATTTCGTTTACGTTAAATTCAGATTACATAACCAGCAGAAGAAAAATACAAAGAAATTGGTCGGTCAACGAAAGCGAGTTCAAGGGTGGATGCATGCATGAGCATGATGGGAAGGAGATGCCTCTCTAGATGGAGGAATCATCTGTTTGGCTCTCCGATCGATCTGTCCTTCCCAATGATGAATGGTGTCTAGTTATTCAAACTTAGCTGTAATAACTAATTTACAATCCAATCTCTCTGTTTGGGGTTTCGGGCCCACCTCGTCGTCCCACGTGATGACCACCCTAGCCTTAGCTCTGCTGCCGATCTGCTCTCCCTCTCTCTGCAACCTGTCTCAACCACCCACACAACCCCAATCTTCACAAGTTCATCTCCACCATCCACCATCCACCATGGCTACGAAACATAATAGAAGGCCCACTTCCCTCGGCATCTGCAACCCTTCCCTGTCCATACAATGGTGCTGTGTCGTCATCACCACCCATCTGTATCCACTTTAGTTTATTCGACCTTCCATGCATATAGAAACAAGCAAAACCCAGATGACCCACCTGTGTTGTATCTCTCTACTGAACCAGAAGCCTCCGTTTGAGATGACAACGGAGTTGATGACAGTGATGACGACGGCGGAGACGATGGTGTCGACGTCGCCGACGATGAAGATGTGGATGACGACGAGATTGTTTTGAATATGAATAATGCATGCCTCAGACCAGGACTGAACAACCAGTCGTGAACATCCCAATACACTTCAACTCTATCTTTATCAACAAAGATGGACTCATTACCTCTGAATTTCCATTGAAGGTGCCTGACATGGATGGCTTGCCTTCCATCTATCCTTATCACCAATTCTAGATCGAACCCACCAATATAATCGTTCTTGTTGGTGCTGCTACTGCCACCATTGCTGTTGTTGCACTCTATGGAGATCTCGTGAAACTCGCCCTTCTCATGGAATTTAACTCTTGTGGAGAATTTCCTTTTACCAAATATGTGCTCCTTCCTTGACACCAAGCTCGGCTCTATCAGCGATGGTCGGCACCCTGTCTTTCTATAGGCATCTTTCTTTAGATCACCAAGAAGCAATACAACCTCATCTTCACAGACAACGGCTACGTAGTAATCCGACTGTGGCTCAGTCTCTCCATTGAATCTGGCGGCCTTAAGGTCCCAGAAGACATCCACCGCCTTGCCTTCCACTATGAACCGCTTGGAACCTTGTTTCCTCCAGAAATACCATGGCTTCAGCTCAACTTTGCAGTTGTATTGATTATCTCCCTCCGGTCCTTCGACGGAGATGCAGAGGCCGTGGAGTAACAGATTCTTGCACCATGTGATAGTGATCAAACGGCACTCACTGGCAACCTTTGTTCTGTATGCAGACAAGAAGACGCTCTGACCTGCCCTGGTCACGGCGGAGGCCGGATCATCTGTCGGCTTTTCCCCAGATGAAAAGCAAGCAGGTATACCAATTGCGTCTTGCATCATACCCAAAAATTGTAAGAAAAAAAAAAAAAACTAACTGTTATATTGGAAAACGGAGATCGATTGGGTCTCCACCGAACTTAATAAGGACAGAAAGAAATGAAAAGCATTGGAGTACTTCTAGATTTAATTGGATTCTAAAACCTACATAGCTAGAGAGCGACCGAGAGAAAGAGGCAACCCACAAGAAGAATTCATAGAAGAAGAGTTTTTCTTAACAAAGGAAAAAAATATAGTGGGAGAAGAACAATACCCTCCTTAACTCCTTTTTATACTCGTTCATTCAATTATCAGAAAACCTTGTGGGCTTATGAAACTGAACTTCGTCTTTTTTTTTTCCTTCTTTTTACTTTTTCCTTTCTTTATTCTTTTTTTTTTCTTTGTTAGCAAAACCACTTTTGAATTCAAGGTGGGTTTGCTTTCTTATTTTTCCTTTCTCTTAAATCTCTCTTTTCCATGCATGGTAAAAAGGAGAGACGCCCTTTTCACCAGATTTGGAGTTTAGATTTCTACGTACGCTGAGTCATAGAAGGAGCACGTGGAGGGGAGGCAAAAGGGAGACCAGTCAAATTAGAATATGCAGAAAATAAAAGGTTGGTTTCCCCATGTAGGGTTTTTAATTGATTTAGTTATAGCTTTTTTTTGTGGGTTTTGGGGTCTCAAGTTTCCAACGGCGATCATCTTTAAAAAAAAAAAAGTTTCCAACTGCGATCGATACTGCAGCAAAGTAAAGAGCAGGGAGGAATCTTAGGGTGTAGCAGTTGCAGAAAAGCCTGAGAAATCTGGGGTTGCAGTTGCAGATCTGGTCGAACTCATAGTCCTCTTCCGGACTTGGAACTTAAGGAGAATAGTTATTCTGAAGTAAATAACCAATGTGGCCTTCAATCTGCTGCTTCGAAGGCAAGAAAACAAACAATAAAATATAAAAAACGTTAATTGCTTACTGAGTAGTAGATCGCATCAGATGAGGATTAAAAATGCTACTCAGTTTGAGTAATTTCTCAAATAAAGCTTAAATAAACTTTTTCTCGAATCCCATTGTTCATACGTATTAGATGGTACTAATATGGTTATTCACAAGCAAGGGTTAACAGTACGAAACAGATTAATTATCCTGGAAATTGATTGTAATCTCTTAACGCGGATGGTTTAAAACAAAGATGCAGTTCCAGATTAATTATCCTGGAAATTGAGGTCTTTGAAGGGAAGCAAGTAGTGCAGTGAAACATAAAAGTAAGGAACAATACATTAGAGAATAAAATCTATTCAAAAGACCTCACCTAATAACATTCTTAATATCAGAGTCTGTTTGACTAAGTGGTATAGTGTTTGATCCTCATTGTCCTCATTATAATTAATTAAATTTCAGCACAATGTATGTGCAGACTTGTGCTTATTTACGTTTCAAGTCAAGTGAGGGGCATGTTAGATTAAGCTTTTCATGGTTCTGAAGAGAAAAGAAGCAGAGAAGAGAGAACAAATCTGGTATTCAGCTAAAATTGCTACCTTAGCAAGTTATCAAGATAACAAATTACATAGAATGCAGTAATTCTAGAGAACCACAAAGATACAGTGCTTATCAGATCTTGCAGTGAAACTGTTTTAGGTCAATGATGATCACGGTAATATGTAATCCGAGCTTCCACTGTTCGCAGCAAGGTTTAATTACCAGCTTAAAAGCATCCATGCAATCTTCAATTTCTGTTGCTTCAAGTCATCTAAATGGAGGAGTTATGTTTTCACAACGAAACTGATCCTTTTATTTATTTTTTTTAGAGAAATGGACTAAGTACAGAAAGGGGGTAACCGGTAACCCTCCCCCAACCCCGAATCCCCAGTCCCAGTCCCTGGCCAGAGACCTTTACCAACAAGCTAGCTGGCGCCTTCTTTTATCTTTCCAAAACCCACTTATCCCTTTTTATTATTAACACTGCTCTCTTGACTCTGGGACTCGAGATTCATATTTTGTTGCTTGAAAGGTGAAATCCTCCGTACCAAAGGTGAAGGACTGACGTTTCCACAATCCAATACATTTACATCCTCTTGCCTTGCTGATGATCAAACTACTGTGCATCCTGGATTATTGTCAGCCAAGCATGTGCTCCTGGCCGGTAGTGTATCAACAACTACCTAATTACCAACCTTGTTAGGCAAAATAAGCAGTTTAAAACATTCGTGCACAAATAAACAAGCAGATGTCAGCTATAAAGAACTCGTACGTATTAAACATATTGCCATACTTACTGGGACCCAAATGTCCTGCACATTGCAACACATAGCATGCCAAATTCAGCGAGTCTTGATGCCCACATTAAGATATATTACGCAGAAGATAAGAGAGAAAAAGGACAACAAGTAATGGCATAGGATTCTACTTCTAGTACAGTAAAAAGTTGAAAATGGAGTTTATTTCTACATGGTTCAGATCTCCCCCCCTCCCTCTTCCTGGGGAAGTTATGCTTTGGGCAAAAAGTCTCGGGATCAAGCCCCCACATAATCGAATAATACATCTCCATCTGCCTGAACTGATTAAATTTATGCAAAACAGAGGGAGAAAATGGATAAAACGACCAAAATTGATCTAATTAGTTAATATGTTGAAAAATGAATAAGTAGCATTTCTAAACAACAATATGGTTTTATTTGGGAGGGATCTGGAATCTGGATGTTATCACAAAACATAACATACCCAGACATTCTGCAGAAAACAATCTCACCTAGCAGAGGCGCCCCAATTGAGTATTCCATACAAAGGAAATACTCTCTGTAAGCAGAATATCAGGACTGCAACATAACCTACCTACCTGAGCATGCCCTAATAAACCATAACCCGAAATACAAATTTGACTCTTATAAAAAAAAAAGAAGAAAACAACAAATTTGACTGGATAATTATACTGATTCAATCACTAGGTCATTCTCTCAGGATTTGCTTTTATCTTAGCATCCTATAACTGGGATAAACTTAACTAACAAGGGATAACTGGGATCAACTTAACTAACAAGGAGAAAGCACTAAGAGATGGTGTAAACAGGGCGCTCACAACCACAGCCCCTTACATTGGGAATAAAATTCACTACAAGAAGAATAGCTTGGACCAAAATTTAGTTGATGATCTTGATGGTTGTTTGTGTCCTTGAGTTTGTTTCATCATGCCAACCAAAGACTTGGGAGTTCGGAAAGAAAAATAAGAAAGAGAATGAAAAATGAAAAATAAAAATAGAGAAGATCTTACTTCCAGAGATGGGCTACTGCTTGTTTGTATCCAACAATAAGCACAAACAACTGAAAGCAACAAAGAGCATTGTACCATCGCTGACAGCTAAACACTGGATCAACGGAAGATGGAAAAGCTATTAATTATTAAACAGACAAGGCACATGAAATGCCTTGAAAAAGATGACAATCTTGAATGCAAACAACTAAAAGGAGCACAAGATAATAAAAGGAAAACACATACAGGAAAATGCTACCAGACTAGAAAAAGATGATTTTTCCAGGATACCACTTCTAGTCCCTTCAACAGTCGGGGGGCGTTCATGAATAAGGAATCCTCCAGAAAATTAGCATACTTTTTCAAACTAACCTTTTCCCACAGTTCATCAGAGGTTAAGACAAGAAGCCCATATCTGGGATCAAATGCAGGATCGCCATGTCAGGTTCTGCAATTACCCATTTCTTCAAAAGAACATCTCCAATGCTTCTTTAAACAGAAAGCATCCCATGATCTTTCCAATCTTCTCAGTAGATCTCCGCATATCCTCCCTAATAGCACAATTCCACAAAGCATCCGTCAGGGTCATTTTCTTATTTCCCAAGGTTGCAATGTTCCAATAGATAATAGCAACTGCCTTCTTTTCTATTCTGTTCCTTTTCTCCTCTAGAATCTAGACTAGTTGAGTGGTTGTATGGTTTTTGGCAAGGACTTCAACCACACAACCTTCACAGAGAACGGCTCTGCAGTCTCCAAGATTTGAAACAGCAATGTCCTTCCCTTCATGTACAACATAAAGGCAAGTTAAGAAAATGAAGAAAAAAAATTCAGAAATGGGCAGATTCATGTACAAAATTTCTTATTTTCTTCATTTATAAAAAGGGAGATCAAGAAAATAGAAGGAGGCGATATCAGAAAAAAAACCAATTTATTTTCTGTCGTAGAATCCTTTCTCAGTTTTTCTTTATTGACATTTTAAAAAGAGCAGTCTACAGGAAATACTAGACTAAGTTCTAGTGATTTTAAAATCTGCATAAACTCTACTTGTGTTAAGAATGGTCAGCATTGCAAACATTTAAAAGGGCCGCCTGGATTATTCTTTATTATGTCAAAAAGGATAGTTTAGTAGTCAGTGAGTCATTACTATGATGAAGGCATGGATTTCATCCCAGTTCAGGGTTTCAAATCCTCCAGAAGGTTACCAAAAACACAGAGTTAACAAGGAGTAGATAGACTGGACTATGCTCTATGTCACAGGCTTAACAAGAACGGAAGACTTCTGGTAATAGAATAATACGAGCATGGTTTAAATTTCAAATTAAAATCTAACACGGTCTTCACTTGCACAGATTCTCCCAGTAGGACCAAATCTATCCATAATTTACTTAACCCACACATTCCCAAAGAGATATTTGGACCATAATCTCTCTGTAGATCTGTTCTGTCATGTGTGCATGAATATTCAAGAGAAGAATAGTAATGTGAAAACTGGCCTATTTTCAAATTTCATTAAACCCAGTTGGAGTCTGGCTCCCAGTTTTCCATTTCACCAACAGCTCCAATCCGGTTTTCAAAAGATTGACTATCCAACAAAATTCATTTTAGTGCTAAGGGGTCATCTTTCAATTCGAATTACAGCATGCCTTTTTATAACATCTATATCAACTGCATAGTCACCAATCTAGATTGACCAATATTCAACTAGCCTTCATGGAGGATAGACACAACCCACAATATGTACCAAATAGTCCAAGCAATGGGCCTTGACAGGAATTTTGCCCGTTTTTGGTTCACAGTCTAAAGCAATCTGGTTTTAACAGTAACCTTATCTTTAGTTGGATCACTGGATTGAGCAGCCCGGAATTAACGTTGTGAGGTAGTCTTTATCATAAGGCTTTGCAAGATGATGCTCTGGTGATATGTACAGAAGCTTTTGAGTAGTAATGAAGTCAATAGAATTTATTTCTAGAAGACGTGAACACACAGGAATCAGCATTTAGTGATAACTTGCATGTGACCTGCTTGGTTGGAATAATCGGATTGACAAA